AAAAGACAAAACAGAGAAAAAAATTATTAAATCAATTTCCCTAATGAATATTGATGCAAAAATTTTAAATAAAATACTAGTAAGGAGATTATAGCAATATTTTGCAAGGATCATACACTATGATCAAGTGGGATTTATACCAAGAATGCAGAGTTGGTTCAATATTAGGATTCTATCAGCATAATTACAACTATAAATGACAACACCAACAGAAATCATGATTATCTCAATAGATGCAGAAAAAGTTTTTCACAAAATGCAACACTCATTTCTAACAAAAACACTAGAAAGTATAGGAATAAATGGTGCTTTTCTTAAAATAATAAGTAACATATAGATACTAATGCCATCAGTAAGCACTATCTATAATGAGGATAAGCTAGAAGCCTTTCCAATAAGATCAGAGGTAAAGCAAAGATGACTATTATCACCACTATTTTTCAGTATGGTACTAGAAATGCTAGCTATCACAATAGGAGAAGAAAAAGAAATTGGAGGAATTAGAATAGGCAATGAGGAAACAAAATTATCACTCTTTGCAGATGATATGATGGTATACTTAGAGAACCCTTGAAAATGAACTAAAAAACTAGTTGAAATAGTTAACAGCAAAGTTACAGGATATACGTAAACCCATATAAAGCATCGGCATTTCTATTTATTACTGACAAAGTCCAGCAGGAAGAGATAGAAAGAGAAATTCCAGTTAAAATGACTGTACTAAATCACTACAGATTAGAGAAATTTTGCAAATCAAAACAACTCTGAGGTACCACAGCACACCTATCAGATTGCCTAACATGACAAAACAGAAAATGATAAATGCTGGAGAAGATGTGGGAAAATCGGAACACTAATGCATTGTTGGTGGAGTTGTGAACTGATCCAACCATTCTGGAGATCAATTTAGAATTATGCCCAAAGGGCTATAAAAATGTGCATACCCTTTGACCCAGCAATACCACTACTAGGTCTATCTCTCAAAGAGATTTCTTAAAAAATAAAAAGTACCTATTTGTCCAAAAATATTTATAGCAATTCTTTTTATGGTGGCAAAGATTTAGAAAGTAAGGGGATGCTCATAAATTGGGGAATGGCTGAACAAGTTGTGGTATATAACTGTGATAGAAAACTATTGTACTAGAAGAAATGAAGAGCAAGATGCTTTCAGAAAAGCCTGGAAACACTTACATGAACTGATGCAGAATAAAGTGAGCAGAACCAGGCAAACATGGTACACAGTAACAGCAACATTGTGTGAAAAACTGTGAGTGATTGATTTAGCTTTTTTCAGCAATATAATAATCCAAGGTAATTCTGAAGGACTTAGGATGAAAAATGCTATCTATCTCCAGAGAAAGAACTTAAGGACTCTAAATGCAGAACAAAGCATACTTTTTTAAACTTTATTTTTCTTTGTTTTTTTAGGGGGGAGGGGTCTGTGTTTTCTTTCACAACATGACTAACATGGAAGTATGCTTTGCATGACTGTCTTGTGGTATGAGAGACTTAGAGACCTCTCAAGGCCCAGAGTGTAGGATGGTGTCATCTAGAATAAATTCATAGACTCAAGCATTCTTTGAATCAAGGTGGCAAAGATTTATTGTTACACTATACAGCAGGCAGAGGTCCTTAGGGAACTTGCAACCTAACAGGAATGAGGCTAAAACTTATATAGGAAAAGCAGTGAATTATGTGCCAAGTATGCTAATTAGGTGATAACATACAACTACATCATTCACTACTGGAAACCAAGGGGAGGGGGGAAAGAGATGATTCCTGAAGAGCATAGTTTTCATCTGTTTTGTCTGTAACAAGATAGTTTTGGGAGTTGATGTCTATAGCTTGACCTCTGGAACTGTGGGCATCAATAGTTGGTAGTTCTGCTGGTACGTGATAGTCCTGTTCATACAAGGGAAATTCTACAGAGGTCAGCTTGTTCTTGTAACAGAGAGAGATAGTTTGCTTCACTGGGGCCATTCATGGGTCACTGTCAGAGATAGGGTCTTTGGACTGGAGGGAAACTGTCAGGGATGGTGTTTCTGAATTGAGGAATTGGAATCTTGAAATTGAGGTCTGAGTACAAGCACCCAAGTACCCTGTCAACTTTGTATGTATAACCTATATCAAATTGCTTGCCTTCTTAATACTGGGGAGGGGAGAGAGAGAGAGAATTTGGAACTCAAAATATTAAAAACTGTTTTCATATATAATTGGGGAAATAAAATATTAAACACCAGAAAAAGAAAGATCACCCCTTAAAAGAGATTCCAAAATGAAAACTCCTTGTAATATTATAGCCAAATTTCAGAGCTCCTAGATCAAGGAAAAATATTGCAAGCATCCGGAAAGAAACAATTCAAACATTGGGGAGCCACAGCCAGGATAACACAAGATTTAGCCGCTCTCATATGAAAGGAGAGGAGAGCTTATAATCATAAGGGACCCAATGAAGTTAAACTGTTTCTATTCCTATCTAGGTATAGAAATCTATCTTACCCAATAAGGAGATAGGAAAGGAAGGGGATAATATATATGGAAGGGGGGATGATAAGGGAGTAGGTCAGATTAGGGAAGGAGGGACAAGATACAAAGAGAAAGAGAAAGATAAACTGAGGAAAATGGGAAGGGGGTGGGGAAAGACACAGTTAGTGATCATAACTATGAATGGGAATGGGATGAACTAACCAATAGAACGGAAGCAGAATGGATTGGAAACCAGAATCCAACAATATATTGTACACAAGAGTCACACTTGAGACAGAAAGACACACAGAGTTGAAATGGACTGGAGCAGTGTCCTTTATGCTTCAGCTGAAGTGAACAGGGTGTGGTAGAAAGCATAATCTCAGACAAAGCAAAGCAAAAATAAACCCAATTAAAAGAGATCATCAGGGAAGCTATATTTTCCTAAGAGATACCATAGACAATAAAGTAATATAAAATTTTTACATCAAGTTTAAAAAGCCTCATCTCTCAAATATATAGAACTGAGTCACATTTATAAAAAAATAAGAACCATTCTCCAACTGATAAATGGTCAAAGGATATAAACAAGTAGTTTTCAGAAGAAGATATCAAAGCTATTCACAGTCATATGAAAAAATGGTTAGAGAAAGGCAAATTAAAATACCTCTGAGGTACCACCTCACACCTATCAGAAATGACAAGTGCTGGAGGGGATGAGGGAAAATTAATGAATTAATGAGGTACATTAATGAATTGTTGGTGGAATAGTGAACTGGCACAACCATTCTGGACAACAATCTGGAACTTTGCCCAAAAGATTTTAAAGCTTTGAATACTCTTTAATCCAACAATACCACTACTAGATCTGTACCCCACAGAGATCAAAGAAAAAGGAAAAGGACCTATGTGTACAAAAATATTTGTAGCAGCTCTTTTTGTGGTGGCAAAGAATTGGGAAGTTGAGCGGATGCCCGTCAGTTGAGGAATGGCTAAACAAGTTGTGGCAAATGACTATAATGGAGTACTACTGTGCTGGAAATGAGGAAGGGGATGGTTTCAGAAAAAGCAGGGCAAGACCTGATGAACTGATGCAAAGTCAAGTGAGAAGAACTGGGAGATTACTGTGCACAGTAATAGCAACTTTGTGATAGTGATCAACTGAGAAAGATTTGGCCACTCTGATCCATACAGTGATGCAAGATACAAAGGACTCATGATGCAAAAGAAAATGCTACCCACTTCAAGAGAGAGAAGTGATGAACTCTGAGTGCAAACTAAAGTATCATTTTCTTCCTCTTTTGTGATATGGCTAATATAGAGTTATGTTTTACATGAGTTCACATGAATATTTGATAGATTGTTTGCCTTCTCAGTGGGCGGGGGGAGGTGTGAGAGAGAGGAATAGTATCTGGAACTCAAAATAAATAAATAATAAATATTTAAAAAATAAAATAAACACACTTCATACACACACACACACACACACACACACACACATAAATGATGAAATAGATGGTTTCAGAGAACCCTAGGAAGAATTGTATGAACTGATGCAGAGTGAAGTGAGCAGAAACATCTTTGAAATCATCAATGAAATAACCAACTACAGCTCCAGAGAGCCCATGATTAAGAATGCTACCTACCTTTTATGAGAAAAGTAATGGAGTCAAGATGCAGAATGAGACATACATTTCTGAATATGACTAATGTGTGAATTTATATTGCTTGATAATACACATTTGTTAAAAAAGGGTTTTCTTTTTTTCTTTCTCAAGGGGAGGGAAGATGAAGAAAGAAGTGCCTGTTAATTAAAGAAATTAATTTTTTTCAGGCCCATCATCAACAACCCTAGTAAAAATAAAAAGACTTTGTTAGGCGATGTGCTGAGGCACTGAAGATGAAAAACTGGTCCTGCCCCCAAGGAGTTTACATTCTATTGAAGGGATTAACCTCAAAGACTTTCATAATCATTTTTTTGAGTCAGTTAATATTATATTTTTATTCTGCACATATGGAAGGTGAAGCATTGAATTCAATGAACTGAATTTGCCACTCAGCAAGAGAGACTGAAAGAAGGCTGGCAAATACTGGTCAAATTCAATTCAATGCAGCAAACACGTAGTAAGCACCTCCTAAGTTTTAAGGTGGTGTACTTTTCGCCCTAAGAGGTGTGGAAGCAGGACTACTGCAGGAAGATCAAGGTCAGACCACCCATCCATTATCAGCTCAGCCCCATGTCTCGCTCGGTCCAGGGGTTAGGTGTGGAGTGGGTGTGTCAAGCGAGTGAGAGAAAGCCCTTCCTCGCGCTGGTTGTGAGTAAACACCCGGTTGGCCTGGCAACTGCCCGAGCCGGCTGCAGTCACCTGCTCCGAGAGCCCCCAGTGGCGACAGTCCTGGGGCGATGGGCAGGTGGGCCGTGGCTCCTCCTCTTCTCCCTCCTCCGCTGCCTGCCCCGTAGGCCAAGGGGCGTCCTCTCCGCCCCCCTCAGGGTTCAGAGGGGCAGCCTCGGCTCGGGTCGAGTTGAGGCATGAATGGTCCGGTCTTCGCGGAGCACCATGGAGGAGGAGCCGCCGCCGCTGCCGCAGCCGCCGCCTCCACCGCCTTCCACGCCCACGCCGCCCCCTCCCTCCGCCTCCGAGATCACCCCGATGAGCAACCTGACGAGCCTGGGCTCCGCCCGCGGCGGGGGCAGCCTGCTCCCCGAGGCAGCCTTGGGCTCGTCTGGCGCTGCCCCGGCCGCGAGCTTCCCCGCGGCCGTGATCTCCTTTACCACCGTGGCGGCCGTGGCGCGGGGGAGCCGGGGCGGCGGCGGCGGCAGCGGCCTGGCTGGGGCCGACAAGGCCGGGCCGGGCAGCAGCATCCCCAGCAGCAGCAGCAGCAGCATCCCCAGCGGCAGCAGCAGCATCCCCAACGGCAGCAGCATCTCCAGCAGCAGCAGCATCAACGGCAGCAGCATCTCCAGCGGCAGCAGCATCCCCAGCGGGGATCCCGTCCCGGTGGCGACGGGGGCGAAGCGGCTGCTGCTGGAGCCCTGGGCGGCCGTGGCGGGGCAGGCGCTCGTGCTGCTGCTCATCTTCCTGCTCTCCAGCCTGGGCAACTGCGCCGTGATGGGGGTGATCGTGAAGCACCGGCAGCTCCGAACCGTGACCAACGCCTTCATCCTGTCGCTGTCCCTCTCTGACCTGCTCACCGCCCTGCTCTGCCTGCCCGCCGCCTTCCTGGCCCTCTTCACTCGCCACGGCGGCGGCCTCGACGGCCCCCCAGCCGCGCGGCCCTGGCAGCGCTTCTGCACCGCCAGCCGCTTCTTCGGCTCCTGCTTCGGCATCGTGTCCACCTTGACCATGACCCTCATCTCCCTGGACCGCTACAACGCCATCGTGAGGCACCCCGGAAAGAAGATGGGCTGGCGCAGGGCCCTGCTGCTCTTGCTCGCCGTTTGGCTCGTGGCAGCGGGTATCTCTTTCCCCTGGGATCTGCTGCGGGGCTCCGAGGGGAAATGGGACGAGGATGCGCAAGTCGAACCGAAGCAGAGTTTCCACCGCTGCCTATACTTTTCCTACCCGGGCCCCTCCCGCCTGGGTCCCACCTACAACATCTGGCTGATCGTGACCTGTTACCTGTTTCCCTTTGGGATCATGTGCTTCTGTCTCTGCCAGATTTGCAAGACTGTGAGGTTGTCGGAAATTAGGGTACGGCCGGTTTCAACCTACGCCCACCTGTTGCGCTTCTACAGAGAAATGCGCACAGCGACCACGGTTCTCATCATGATCGTTTTCATTATTTTCTGCTGGGGACCCTACTGCCTCCTGGTTCTGTTCACAGCTGCAGCCGGGGCTGCAGGTGCCCAGACACCCCCATTCCACCCGGTCCTGAATACCGTGGCCATATGGATGGCCTGGGCAAATGGAGCCATAAACCCTCTCATCTACGCCATCCGCAACCCCAACATTTCCATACTGCTGAGGCACAAACGGGAGGAAGGTTACAGGACTAGAAATGTAGCCGCCTACTTGTCTAGCCACAATCGAAATCTGGAGGCCAGAAGCATTGCTAATCGTCTCAGAGAACGCTATGCCCACAGGCTCGGCGTGTGCAGTAGAGTGTCCTCTTGCAGTTCTGCTAATGGCGAAGCAGGAGGGGATGTGGCCATGTGGGCTTGTAGAAATCCAGCCCTACTCTTCTGCCGAGATGGGCTACCAGACACCGCATCTGAGGTAGCCATGCAGGGTAAAACAGCAGATACTAGTCTCTAAAACAGTGTGTGCATGGATAGAACCAAGTGCAACCACAGGAATATTCCATCCTTTACATTTTAGGACTAGGGAAATTCCATTGAGGATCAGTGGAGATCCTGAGAACCAAACATTTTATACTGAAAGAAAACAAGAGGGGGCAGGACTTGCCATTTTCAGAAAGGCTGATTAAAACACACACACTCACACAATTACATTTTTGCAAAAGTGCCAAGACTGATGTAAATTGCAAAAAATTAAACCATCTTGACTGACCATCATGAATTTTAAGTACCAAAAAAAAAAAAAGACCAAAAACCAAATACCAGACCAGATCACCTGAAGCCCATATGTATAGGAACCACACTGTGAAAAACAAAAATACAATGTCTTTGAAAGAGGTTATTGCTATTTATTGAAAGGCACAAAAGGTCTCCAGCTATGGCATGGAAAACTAGATACTTGGATCAACTTGTGTTAAGATTGTCCTCTAAATGAATTTAACAAAATTGACAATCAGAATCTACCAATTTATAGAAAATACAACTTATGTATTTTGGGGATAGGATATAAGGAAAGAACGGTTCTTATCCTCACATATCTTACTGTCTTTATGGATTTATGAGGGAAGTAGTCCTGCCTGGAGGAGATTTAGAAATTGGAAAAAATTATATTTACATATTAGGTGCAAAAAACAGTTCAGGAAGAACAAAAACTGAAAGATATGACTCTAAGGAAATATAACTGATTTGATAAACTGCAAAATACACATCTAATTCAGTGTTGCCTTTTCAAGTAGTCACCTTATGAAGACTTAAAACCTATTTGGTGCTCCCTTCTTTGGTATGACCTTTAGAATTTACAGTGCATTCTTTTGAATATCCTTAGTAGCTGCAAATCTGGATTCTTTGAAAGTGGATATGACTCCTGGATAAAGTCATAAGCAAGTATGATGAATATGGTGAATGATCAGACTGAGATAACCTCATAGCTGATCTATATTATTATAAAGTAATGATATTGGTTTTGTTGTGTAGCATATAAGTTAGCTCTGAAGGAGATTCCAAAAGAGGAGTTCTAGAAATGGGGCAGTGGCAACATAATTTGATGAACTCAGTGGCTTCCCAGGTTGACTACTCTGAAAGACAAAGGTCATTTGAATGTAGACATTCTGACATTAAAAAAAAAAGTCAGTCTCATTGCTTTATGGTTAAATGGTCCATATAACTCTAATTTTAAAGCCCAACTCATATTCCAGGCATGTCTTGGTCATATTCTTTAAAGAGAATAACTGTGAATTGGCCATGTTTCAAGGGCTTTGAATTGCAGGTCTGGAATGATAGTTGTATTATGCTGGTCCAGTGGTTAATTAGATGTATCCAGAAATTACTGAAAAGTTCTTTAAAAATTAATTGCTTGGCTACAGTTAAAATAATACCAAAAAAAAAGCACAAACTAGGAAACTTTTCAAATGAAATGCCATTGCACTCAGCTTTTAAAAGATGCTTTTGTGTTTTCTCCCTCAATTCCCTTCTTTCTCCCTATTCTCTTTTCCCTTCCCTCTTTTCCTTCACCCCGGAGAGGCTCAGGACTTCGTAGCCTTAATTTAACATTTAAAATTAGGCATGAGATTCATCCTTCTGCTACTTTCTGAAGACTTAAATGTGAAATAGTATCCAGTATTTTTTCTTATACAATACTAAAAGATGTTTTAATATTTTTTGTTTGTGAGGAGTCAGTATATGTCGTTATTTTGTAATCTAAACCTAAAATAAATGGTCTTTTATGCAAAAATTGCAAATGTAGTTTATTTTTCCTTTCTGTGTGAATGAGACATGCATCATGACGTAGCAATTAGCTAACTTCAGAGTCCAAAAGACCAGAGTCTAAGCCTTAACCTCTGACACCTACTGGCTAGGTGATCTTGGACAAGTCACTGACCTTCTCAGTGTCCCAGGAAACTCCCTAAGACTAAAACTTATACGTGAGTTGCTGATTTGAAAGTTTCCACCAAGGGGTTTTCCCATGCCAATAAAATCACAGATTTGGGGAAAATGAGATAAAAATAGTAGATGAAGGTAGGAATAACTATTAGATGTATGTATTAAAGATACCTGTGTTCTAGTTCCTTGCTAAGTCATGCACAAAGTGAATTGGACGGAGTCATCCCTTTCTCATAACTTATGGTCTTTCCACAGTGAGGAAAACAGCCTCAAGTGTGACCAGAAGTATTATTCTTACATTGTGTAGATGCAAGAATTTCAGTTCACTTAATGGAGTTAAGATTTAAAAAGGAGTCATGGGCTGCACATAAGGACAAATTGCTGTCCCAGTTAGGGGAGATTTCACAAAAGAGGGATTTCAGTAGCTGTTTGTATAAAGGATTAAAGGAAGCTAAGAGAACTGGTTAAGTGGGGGAAAGGTTGAGATGTTTCACAAATACGGTACTGCCTGAGAAGAGAATTTGGAGGCAGAAATGTCACAGAGAGGAACTAAATTGTGGTTATTTATTATTCATCCTTCCTTCTTGAAGAGGACCAATGACATCAGGAGGGTGTGATTACAAGCGAATTGGATTTAAGTGAGTCAGAGCTGGGCAGAATCATCAGCCTCACTCTCTCCTCCAGAGTCATCAGGGTCCAGTGACAAGACATAGGTTGGGATGACTGGTGATGGGCCCAGATATGGTGGGAGATCTTGTCCTTTTTAAGCTAAGGTCTTTCCCAGGTCTCAGTTTGTCCGAGGCAATATCCTTTAAGTGGTTAAAAGCTAGGTAAGAACTGAGGCAAAAGAAGGCCAAGTTTGCCTTCACAAGAATCAATCTGGGCAGAGGAAACTTAATAAGAAACAGATATAAGACGATGATCTGGGGAGTCTGGGAATACAAGGGGTAGGCTGCTGTGAAGGGCTTTGATACTAGAAGATCATGCTAATCTGTCCTTTATCTACCACATATGTCAAAAAGGGGAGGTTAAGTCAAAACAGCCTATAGAGAAAACAGTGGTGACTTTAAGGTAGAAGGTGATAAGTGGGCAAATTCAGAACATCAAGTTGCGTTAGTTCTTCATGACCAATAAGAAAACATGTGTTATATTTCGGGGAGTTGGAGATACTATGTCCTGCCCTCAAGAGGCTTACAATATAGCAGAAGGATTCTCATCTCTTGCTGGAGGACTAAGTCTGTAAATGTAGGCATGGAAAGGATAAAGGAATTTCCAGGAGGTGCTATTGAGTAGAGAAAAAATAACAGTAGAATTTGGAAAAGGATTGAGATGAATCCATTGTCTCTGAATGGGGAAATGGCCACACATTACTGGTCTCTGGTAAAAGCAGGATACTGTACAAGAGTCAGAAAGCAATCCTGCTACACTTCTCATTAATCAGACTCTTACTGGAATGTTTCATTTCTTTTCTTTTCTTTTTTTTTTTTGGGCTATTCAATGGGGTTAAGTGACTTGCCCAGGGTCACATAACTGGTAAGTGTCAAGTGTCTGAGGTTGGATTTGAACTCAGGTCCTCCTGATTCCAGGGCTGGTGCTCTATCCACTGTGTCACCTAGCTGTCCCCATGGAGTATTTTATTTCAACTGAGGGGTTCTTTGGACTTTAAAAAGGATATGGAAAAATTGGGAAATCTTGAAAGATAATAATTACTGAAAATTACAGAGATAGAGAAGTATATGTTTTAAGTAAAGGTTAAAGGAATTAAGCTATTTATCTTTAAAGAAGAAAAGCCTCAGGGGATACCTCAGTTTCCTCAACTGTAAAATTAGAATAATAGCACCTATCTCTCAGGGTTGTTGTAAGGATGAAATTAGATAATAATTGTAAAGAACTTACACAGTGCCTGGCTCATAGTAGGTACTATACAAATTTTAGCTATTATCACTTTTATCATCACTGTTATTATTATTACTATTATTATTTCTCTTTTTCAATAACGGAGGGTTTTGAGCAATTACTTTTTATAGAACATAGTCCTCTGTACCCCAGCTCCATTTAGCCACTAAAAGATTAGCTTATACAAAAAGAATACTTAATTCAAAAGATATAATCACAAATATATAAATTTAGTCCCTGACATGTGGGAGGCATAATTTCCTCCCTTCTTCAAAACCAGTACTACCTCAGTTTCTGAGGGGAAAGGGATTAGGTTCATAGCTTAGCTCTTTCCTATTCCTATATTACCTGTCCAAAATCTGTCTTCAAGCTCAAGTTCTGGATACCCTCGTTTCTCCTGGCTTCCTTGCTAGGCTGTCCGGCTTTAATATCTTCTCTTGATTCCTGGCTTCAAGATCATAAAGTTTGAACTCCCTCATCTGGTCTGGCGAGGATCACCTTGGCACCTGAAACTGAGAAGGATAAACAACACAAAGGAGAAACAGACACCCCTAAGCTCATATCTTTGGAGCTGGGGTAAAACAGGGAGCAGGGGAAGGAAGTTCATCAGCTTAGCACATGGCATCTACTCTGTGGGGGAACTGTGATCTTCGTCCTCTGGATGTAAAAAAAAAAAGCCACAAAAGCCGTAAAGAGTGACTATCTCAGTCTGGCCAGTTTTAAAGATATAGCCTTTCCATCTTTTCAGCCAATCAAAGGAGGCTATGCCAACCCCTGTAGGAAGGGCATGCAGAGTGCTTCCATGTTAGGAGATTTGGGCATGCTCAGCCAAGCTCCTTTAGAAATACCTCCATGTTAAGTGGTCTGGGCCTGCTCCAAAGGCCCTTTACACATTTCCTCATTGGCAATTTGCCATCCCCAGCACATAGTCAATGGTATATTTTCTAACACGGTCCTTATCCCAAATACAGGTCTTTGTGCTAAATTTAGAACAGCTCTCTATAGTCTCTAGGGAGGCATAAGCAAGGTCCTTTGACTTACTTTCCCAGTTTTGTACAGTAAAGTTTCAAAACAACCAATGCTCTATGATCATATACAATCCCACATGTACAGATGAAATAAAAATTAGCCTCAAATATGAAGTTTTTCAGATTCAACAAAATAAGAAGCAGTTTACAAAGTTTGCCAAATATTTCTGCTTGATTTAGCAATCGCCTTAAAGGACCTTTTTCAACCCATAAACAAAAGGACTAGCAAAGACTAAGAAAACTGGCTGCAAAAAGATTGAAATTTAATTATGCAGCAGTAATTGCCTAGGTATTCTTTGTGATGATCCCACTCACAGAAACATGTGTGACTATAAGATTATGAAGGCAATCACAGTGTAAATCCCCAAATGGTGGTGCTACATGCTTGGCATTTCCTGAAATTTTAAGTTGACAGCACTCCTTTTGCAAATTCTTCCCATCCAGAACAAAGATCCAACATAATTACTTTTGTGACTATCCATCTGGGGTGAAAACATCTGGCAAAACTAGTAATTTCAGGGAAGAGGCCTCACCCATTTACTGGTGAGCATCTTTAATTCTTCCAGCAATTTCTAGAAACTCTCAAATTATGAGACCATATTCTTCTGATGTTCCCCCGAGACTAAGCATAAAATTTTCTCTTCATATGGGAACTCTTTTGGTGTCTGCAAGAAGCAGGCTCTAACTTCTTTCTCTAATGAGTGCGATTGTGCAAAAGAATCTTTCTGTTGAATATTCCCAGAATATAAAGTCCCTTTGGGAGACTGTTGAACAAA